CAGCAGTTTAGGCTACATACTCTCCATCTAAACTTTTAAGTTAGTAACCAAGATTAATTAAAGTTTAAGTTTTTTTTATAGTTAAAGCCACGTTTCGTTTGTTTTACAAAACGAGAAAAGTGTAACACCACGCCAAAAATCCGTGCACTGGTTACCCCTCTATGTTACTGATGAGAGTTTATCGATTGCATGTTCGAGTATAACAAAGGAAACAATTATTTAAAACTTAGTTGCAATTGTAAATGCTAATACAAATTTAATTATTCATTTATCTATTGTGTGGTCAATATTTAAAACTATAGATGTGATTATAATAAGACGACAAAATGCACAATAAATATGCAAGAATTGCATTGTGTTTGCCAATCGATAATTTACAAATTACATAACTGTATACATAGATAATGTAACTTCGACCTCTACCCATAGACATCCGCTTGCAGGCGTAGCCTATCCTTAATCGACGGAGAAGCAAATGAAGCCATTCCTAAGCGTCTCTTCTACCGTCTAATCTACTCCCTATCTATTCCTTATAAGAAAAGGGTAAGAAGGGAAAGGGTAAAATTCATCAGACGAAACGCAGAAATGCTTTCACTTGTCTGTCTTCTGGGTGGTTCAGAATCCACAGAAATGGAAAGCAACCGCTGTCTATAAACATCCGCAATTGCAGATGCGTTGCCTACCCTTAATTGACGGAAGAGGAGACACACATAAAGAGGAAATTTTCTCTTCCTATGCATCACCTCCACCGTCAAATCCACTTTTCCCATCTTTTCCTCTAAGGAAAGGGAAAGGGAAAGGGACTAAAAATAGGCCTCCGGCACCACACTCATCAGACTGTACGCGGAATTGCTTCCACGTCACGCCTGTTATGTGTGGTCGTGGTATTACACCGGGCGAGCCGGCCCTGCAGTGCGAAGATGTTAAAGCGGGCTCTACCACTGTTAAACATTGGTTTGATATTGGTATTGTAGCGAGCTGGCCCATACGTGCTAAGATGTTAATGCAGGCCTTATACTATTAAACTCTATACCACTTTAAAATAAACATTCCCTTTTATTAGAATAATAATAGTAGGCTTTTATTGCAATAGATTTTCAAAAACATGTTCTATTCTCTTTAAAAAACCGATAACAATATTATAATACAAATGTTTTTGTAGTCGAAATTACATTAATTAATTGTGGAAAAAAACCTCGGTTTCTTGTAGCTACTAGGTTTTTTCCATGACTTTAAGTTAACGGTTTATTAGTATTACAAACATGTTATTACGAAACTATTTTGCACCAATAAAATTTAGTCTATTTTTTTAAAAAAAAGGGCACGTAAAAATAAGCGACACATGAAAATCCTAAATCGTTGTCTACCTCTCTGCATTAAATAGTTTCACACGAGGGTAGAACTGAAAGGGCACACTTTGTACCAGCAATACCGTTCTTTCTCATTTGTTTATGTTGAACGAAATAGAAATGCACTCTCTACTGCTACTCAAAGTTCTACCCTCGTGGGCAATTAGCAAGAACCATTCCTACTTTTTAAAATAGATCGAGTACAATACTTAATGTACAGGGATCTCAGTATTGGAGACTCATATTACTTACCCACAGTCATGAACAGCAGCTTGACTCCAGATTCAAGATGGTACTTTGAAGGTTCCGTGTAATGCAGCCGGTGGTAGATAAGGTCGAATCCCTCACACGACTTCTCCGGTAGGTACGAGAACTCTCTGTAACGTCACAAAATAATACTGAGAGGCTAATAATTCACACGAAAGCTCAATCGTTAGTATTCAGGCCAACACTGTTTAAACACCCGAAAAACATGATTATCTACAACGTGAATACCGTACCCCCCATATTACGCGTAAATTTCTTCCTATAACGCGAATATTCCCTATAATTTATATAGATCTCTCTATGACGTAATTAATCGATCTGCCTGTTGAAAAACATGTTAAATCCTATGACGTGAATTTCTATATCGCGGAAACATCAACCGCGTTATAGAGGTTTACTGTAGTTTGTACTATTGTACACAGTATAATAGTACTGCACTCTACTACCCTACTGTAAAACATTTCAGATAAGATCACAATGTAATTCTTAACTACGTATAATTCCCGTAGATTTGGCGCCAGGGGGTTCACATAGTCGTGGTCAAGTCAAGAGCTTGACAAAATATGTAAATATATTTTGTCAAGCTCCAACCAACCAGCTCATGGGGGGTCATAACCCCCATGACCCTCCCCTCGATCCGACCGTGGTTCTAAGTGACTTTTAATTCCGCTACCTTAACCATGTTTCAAGTCAATAAGAGAAGAAGGATATACTTGTTCTTTCTTCCTGTAACCATAAAACGTTAAACATTTCGATTTATAAATACGATAAACCCTTGAACACGACATTGAAGCTATAAAAATGAAAATATACGATATCTACGAAGGTTAATGCATCACTTATTTTATTCGCATTTGTCAATAATTCATGAAGTTTTAATTTAATCATTCTAGTATTTTCAGAATTAGCTTCGAAAGAACTTAAAATTAGTTTAAAGCAAGTTACCATGTTATTCGAATGGTTTGCCGATGCACATGACGTCACGCTTTATTTGACAGTACTAAGGCGAAGAAGTTTGAAAATAGTAGAAACCGTGTTACTCAGAGATCCATTGGTTATTAACGGTGAAAGAATTATTCAAATCGGTCTAATAGCTTTTTTTTCTAAAATGTTTCATAACAGACTATAGACAAGCTGTTGCTCGCGACTTCGTCCGTCGAATAAAGACAATACTAAAACATAGTCTATGTTACTCAGTGATAACAAAGCTTTTTAATGGTGCAAGAATTGTTGCAATTGGTCCTCTAGTTTTTAAAGAATTCCAATACATAAAAAAGCCAAAAATATAAATCTTTCCTCTTTATAATTATAGATTACAAGTCATATATATAAAATACATGACAAGATATACCTAAATAATTCCACGTGGACGAAGTAATAAATATTTTCAATAGAAACATTTTATTACAATTACATTATAATTTATTTTATAATTATAATTCAAGTAGACAGTTAAGTAAATGGATTTACGTTTGTATGACGTCAATCTAAACCGAGCAAACTAAGCTTGGTTTATTTAAATGAGAAGGGTTCAGTATACAATATTGAAAAAAATTATGATGTTAAACTAGTGTAACAAACTACGGCTCTTCCTCTTCTTTCTTAAAGTGCTATCTTCTTTCAAAGGTCGGCGATCATTAGGGCGACTTGCGTTCCTGAAACCGCGGCTCTGAAAAGTGAACGGGTGCTCTTTGCATACTACTGGCGTAGGTTTTTGAGCCAGGACGTTCTTCTTCGACCTACACTTGCTTTCCGTGAATCTTGCCTTGTACGATGCAGTAGTTCGTATTTGGCATTTCTCATTATGCGGCCTAGATACTGCAGCTTTCTTTTAAAAAAATAAAAATCCTCACTTGACAACATTTAAATCGACTGTATTACATTAAAAAGTTCTACATTTGACCGTAATATAACAAAGGTATTATATTTCTGGTCAGGCTAATAAACGATTTATAGTTAAGATAGGACGAGGTGATTTGACAGCCCAGGGCGCTGGACTTAAAAGGGGCGCCACAAGCGCAAAAATAGGCGCCTTTTAATATGCTGTTAGGGGGCGACGTAAAAATGTCGTTCCCGGTGCCGTTAATTCTAAAATCCGGCCCATCTTTAACTCGTATAGTTATCTAGGCCAGGCGCTTAGCGTTAGTTTTAATACGGAAATAATAATGCCCTAAAGGAAAGGTCAAAAAGTCAACACTGAGTTAAACGCATAAGGATTTAACTGCGGAACTCTAAATGTGAACCTTGCCCTTGAATTACCGTGTTCCGATGTTTGCGAAGGTACAAGACAATCGGAAACCTGTTTTGTTTCAATGATAATTACATTACTGTGGACTCCGTCTGCAATGTCTTAACCTTCAGTCGCAATGGCGTTTTATAACGCGTTGAATAAGAACAAATCAATTTTCATGTTCATACGGGAGCGGTTTCTTTGGTTGCATTCTGCTCTGGGCGAACGAAACAAGAGTAAATTCAAAGCGTTCGTCCGTCCGACCCGCCGACGTTAAAAAAATGCTCGTGCGAATAGATTCTCATACATACTCGTATATTGCTGTCTTTATTTTATTAACAGGATGTAAACGATACCTATCGCCTATTGTGCGCCGACCCTACGGGAGTAGGATAAGGCAGGGGAGATGATGATGGATGTAAACGATGGCAATATGTCACTGCAATCAAAACATTATAAGATGCCGCAAACCAGAATTATCTCCAACTAGAATCAGATAGATCAGAATCTCAGAATAGATCAGAATCATAGGACTAGAATCAGATCTAAAGATCTGAGTGCCATGTGAAATCTAGCTATGCAATTGGTATTACAACTAAACGATTTTATAAAAAGGTTATCGTTATTTACAGAGTTTAAACCTTGCTTTGGAACAGTTGAATCTCTGTATTGTATACACGTTCGTCTACATCTGTCGTAAACAGAGAGATAAATATAAACCTACCTTTGATCTGTTCAATCCTTTGACTAAAAAACTACTATCAACGTCTTTTAATGAATTTTATTTGTATTTGCATAAACTTAAAATATGGCCACAGGTGAGCAATTCTTACTTTTTTTAATGTCATAAGTATATATTTAAATTTTAAATAATTCACTTTATAAATGTTGAATATTATTCACATAAATGTTAATTCAAAAGTAATTCTTACTAATATTATAAATACGAAAGTTGGATGGATGTTAGAGTTTGTAGCCTAAACTGTTGAACGGATCTCTATCTACTATAAGACAACTTATTTAATTGATACTGTCGCTTTAAACTCAGAGCAACACTTCTCGACAGGACTCAAGTTTCGCGCCAATCTATCCATCCTTCTAGTGCCATTGACAGCTGTCAGCTAGGGACGTGCCGTTTATGCCGATAATCTAGAGTTGCGCCAATTCTATAGCACGGTACTAATTTTATTCCTAACACTACACTAATATTATAAAGAGGCTAATAACATAGGCTACATGTTTAATATTTCTCAACTTCACGCGAAGTCGCGAGCAACAGCTATGAAAAAGAAATTTGTAGAACATAGTCTGGAAGATACAGGCTACTTATTTATTTTTATTCCACGGACGGAGTCGCGGGCGAAATCTAATGCAATAAATTATGTACATTTAGATATACTGATAGTTATTGTCGTTACAATGTTAGAATTATTTAAATTGATAACGAATCACCAGCGAGTTTCCACTGCCGAAGCATCAAAACATTTTTTTCTCAGCTTTGTAAAGATTAGTGGAAGAAAAAAATGATATTTTTAATATGTATTCAAAATTTATCCATAATTATAGACTTCGTCCACGTAATACTAAAAACATAGCCTATGTTACTCACAGATAAACCTTTCTATCGGTGAAAGAATTTTTAAAATCGGCTTAGTAGTTTTTACGTGACTCGAATATAAAAATCCAAAAACAAATGTTTCGTCTATATAATATTAGTAAATATCAAACGATCCATTATCGGATTTTTTTATTCTATCTTAATTTTTATCATCATCACCAGCTCACTATATGTCCCCACCGAGGGGCTCGGAGCCTATCCTAATATGGAGTGACTAGGCCATAGTCAACCACGCTGGCCAAGTGCGGGTTGGTTGACTTCACACATATCTTTGAATTTCTTCGCCTATATGTGCAGGCATCACGATGTTTTCCTTCACCGTAAGAACGTCGGGTAAATTATGTACATATGAAAATTCGAAAAATCGAAAATCACATTGGTACATGGCGGGATTCGAACCCAAGACAACAAGTAAGCGTTCAAACCACTGCGCCACCGACGCTCGCTCGCTTAATTTATATGGATTTTGTGAATTTCATCAGATCTGCGCGCGCGCAATCAAATGACGTTTATACATGCATCGTTTATGTTGGCAACTTATTTGCATTTATAATTGAAAACATTGACATTTGAAAACACCATTTTGCCGGTCATTAATGACGCGAGCAGTTATAAAGTTGCTTCAGAGTGCGCACACCTATAGTATCGCTTTGATTCCTATGAACTCATATGGAGGTACACTAATCGATGTTAGTTGTGCAACCAAACAGTTGAAGGCTGCGAAACAATCGACAATCGCACAACAGTTGTGCGATAGTTTAGACAAAGTTGTGAGCCCGCTCTTAAATACTACTAATGACATAGGCTTCAAATTAAAAAAAAACAAAACCTTTAGCCTATTCCAGACTGTAGCATACAACTTTGGAGTATATATCAAACTAATCTAACTTCTAACTAATATTATAAATGTGAAATTTTAGATGGATGGATGTTTGTTAGAATTTGTAGCCTAAACGGCAGAACGGATCTCGATGAAATTTGACATTGAGGTACAGGATAATCTGAAAGTACAGATAGGCTACTCACTCTTATTTTTTTAATTCCGCGCGGACGTCGCGGGAGGAAGCTAGTTAGTAAAAATTTAAACTTTAAAATTATTTTAATTTTTTGTCAAAAGTAGTGCATCTTTGGTGGTTTAAAATGCTATTTTTTCTAGATTTGGCGTACAAAGTCGAGGGCAACAGCTAGTTTATCCATTAGTAAGATTTTTATTAAAATGTTTACATATTACATCAATGACATATTGCGAAGCGACATCCACCATTCTATTGTAACCTTGTATTCAATAGCCATGTTTAAAAATATTAAGTAACTGGCAACTTATAGAGAAAGAATAAAATAATCTAATGTTAAATTTTACAATAAACTTGCTGTAGTTCGAGACTTCGACCACGTGACTAAAAAATATAGCCTATGTTATTGGATAATGTAGCTTTCTAATGGTGCAAGAATATTTGAAATTGGTCCAGTAGTTCTTGAGTTATTTCAATACATACAAAAATACAAATGTTTCCTCTTTATAATTCACTAATATTATAAATATGAAAGTTAAGATGAATGGATGTTTGTTAGAGTTTGTAGCCTAAATGGATTAACGAATGTTGTTGAAATTTGGTACAAATGTAGAGGATAGTCTGGAAAAACACAGGCTATTCACTTTTGTTTTATTTAAATTCTACGCGGACGGATTCGCCGGCGAAAGCTAGTATAGCTTTAGCAGTGGTAGAGCCCGCTTTAACATCTTCGCACGAATGAGCCGGCTCGCCCAGTGAAATACCACAACCACACAGAAAACAGGCGTGAAGTGGAAGCTATTCCGCGTACAGTCTGATGAGTGTGGTACCGGAGGCCTAATTTTAGTCTCCTTCCCTTTCCACCCTTTTCTTATGAGGAACGGATGGGAAGGTAAAGTGGATTTGACGGTGGAGGAGACGCATAGGAAGAGGAAATGTCCTCTTTATGGGCGTCTCTTCCTCCAGCAATGAAGGGTAGGCAATTAGTTTACGGCTTACTCACGTCATACTTTTTTATGGTGATGGCACCGACTAGTTTCAGACCAGAAGGACCCGCAGGGTCTGAAACTGGTTGGTGCTGTCACCATAAAAAAGTATGACATGAGTAAACCATAAAATGATTAATTATAAAGTTTTCTTGTTAATAATGTTGTACAAAACTAGTAATAATTATCCTAAATATCCTCAATTATTTCATTTAAGCAAAAAGTAGTGTCTGAGTTATTTTCCATTTGTAAGCCGATGGTAAAAAAAATTAGACAATTAATGGATGTTAACACAAAATAACTGAAAAACGCCACAGTTAATAGTTAACAAGTTATGTTGAAAAAGCATGTAATGCTATTTAGTACATTTTGTTTAATTACAAGGTCATGGAAACATACAAGAGAGAACAATATGATTAGATTTCACAGAGATGGGGACACATAGGAAGGGGACATATTCTGTGTCACCTCCTCTGTTAAATAAAGGTAGACTATGTTCTACTTATTGCAAATTTCAACAAGATCTGTTGAGTACTTCTAGACATCTAATAAGAAACATTCATCTATACAAACTTCCAGTTATTAGTAAGAAGTATGTTAAATAAAGTAGTTTTTACCAGTACTGCTTTAGAATACCAGAGGTATCTCCCTTAGCTACATTACTCTTTTAAAATGTATATTCATGTTTTTTTTGTAACTTTACGAAAAACTACACCAGAAGTTCTTTTAAAAATATGCATTAAATTATAATAATGTTAAACAGAAAAAACTTTAATGGCTTAAATTGATATTATAAATATGGTAATTAACAGTTTCAAAGGAGCCAAGGATTTTAAATGATTTATTTGAATTAATAAAAGTGGAATTATTTTTGTAATCTTCCATTAAATGTTAACACAAAAAAACATTTTTGTAGTTGCAAATTCCAGTAAATCCCCTCTATAACATGTTCCTTATAATATGAATTCAGTATGCGAATAGATATTAAAAAATCTTCGACGTAATGTAAACGAGAAAATTACTAGAGATTAAAAATAAATTTTATATTAATTCGACACATTTCGCTATTGTAAAGTTTCACCAAAATTGTTAACATTTTTTTTTAATCTTAATTGAACAATAAATACATTTTTAATATTTTTTTAAAGCTTAAAAAAAAACTTACAACGCTTCGGTGCTCGGCCACAGCTCTTCGGAATTTAAGATACGACTATCAAAAAATTCTGGTGCATTTTTCCTGAATGAATAATATTTTTCTATACATGTTTTCGTTTTATCTAAATCTCCATAACATGCGTTATAAAACAACACAAGTTGTTTATCCGATAAATCTTTGGGCACATATTTTGATTTATCTAATTTTTGAGTCCACTGTTTTAAAAAGTTTATGTCATCTTGTGAGAATATGTCCATGGCAGCGGTAGCGGCATTATAATCGAATTCCAATTCCACAGGCATTGCTTTTAATTTTAAATTATTATCGCGTCGTAATTTTATTTATGAAAAACCGATCGAAATGACACTACCACTCAATGTTAAAACAATTTGACAACTGACGGCTGGCGAAAAGAAAAGAAGATTTTGCTAGATCGAATTCTTAGATTTCGTTTGTATAGATACAAGCTTTTCGCCATTCCGCGGAAATCACTTGATTATAATTTGATAAATTCTGATTCCAGTAATGAACTGTACAAAAACAACCTTGAATTTGCCAAAGCTGACTAAAGCCTACGTGATTTATTTCAGCGTCAACTTTAATGATAACAACAAATGCACTTAAATGAAATAATGGAATCAAATTCTTCGTAAGTATTGTTCACCATAGTTAACTTTAAGACAGCAATATAATTTAACTAGCATCAACAAAAAATAAATTGACAAACATGTTATTCCGATAGCTTATCTAATAATGTCTTTGTTTCAGAGAACCTAATTTAGTTCTTATAACAAATAAAACTAAAATCCTAATATTTTACAAAATCTACTGGAAAGTAATATTATTTCTGGCAACACCTATCTTGTTATTACCAATATATTTTATTGGTGATGATAATGTAAGTTTTATCATTGATTTACTTAGAATCCTACCATACCATTTTTGTTTCATCCTATAAATAAAACATAATATTTTGTCATATCCTAATTCCGAGCAACTTTAAATTTGAATGATATGCCAGTAGTATTTGCCTAATACGACTTACAATAAAATTGCCATGTAAACAACCATTTAGCCATTAACTAGTGTAATATCCTATCAAAGTTACACTTAAATCTATTATATTTATTACAGGCATATCCATGTTTATACGTATTTCTCGTGACTGCGGTGTACTGGACTACCAACGCGGCTCATCCAACTATAATATCGTTATCGTCGTTGGCTTTATCTTCAATCTTCGCATTTTTCGGTGTTGAAATAATAACATCGGTTATTAAAATATAATTACAAAAATTGCTAATTACTTTGTAGCAATTTTGATACTAGATAGAAAACAAGAGGGTAGCTGTAAGCCCCTTAGAGAATTAAAAAAAATAGATAGTAAAAGTACTTGAAAATAAGAGTATATTAATGGCAGTTCTCCCGTAGGCCTAGATGAATTTATTGGCTGGGGACACCTATGGTGTCATAATTTATTTGTATTTAACAGATCTACGTAACTCGAGCATTACTGGACTGCTTAGGAGTTATGATGATAAATGTCGCAATCGAATACTGCAATGTTCACAAGAGAGCCGCTTTGAAAATTATCCTCATGTTTGGTTGCTCACATTACAGGTAATTTTCTATTCGGAATTTAAAGTAAAACTCTATCTGATACAGAATTATTAAGTTTTAACACATTATTAAAGCATATTACAATTCCTCTGCCTACGATATTTCTAAGGTTATAAATTATTTATTGGTTTCAGGCTCAGTTTTATTCTATTCTTTACTACGTTGGTGCTCTCCATGTGGATATCTAACGTAATCACATGCGGCATAATGATTCCCCTCGTTAGATCCATCCTCATGGAACTGGAAAAGGTTACAAGAATCATATGAAATACGTGCATTAAGCTTTGCTCTTTGTCATTTCTTACTTGTCTGTACTAATACTTTGATTATAAAGAGGAAAAATTTGTATTTTTGGATGTATTGAAATAATTCAAAAACTACTAAGCCGAATCCAAAAATTATTTCACCAATAAAAAGCTACGTTATCACTTAGTAACATAGATTATATTTTTAATTTCACGAGGACGTAGTTGCGTTCAACAGCTAGTTAACAAGAAAGTTAGAACCACCCTAGTTTTAGCATTTCCTTATTCCTTTTGAAGTTGCATTCGTAAATATTTTTCAGCTCGGCATTATCGAAGTGTATGAAGTTATAGACAAGGACAGAAGATCAACGCAGATATACAAACCTACATTGTTCACTTCATTTTACTTTTTAGGTATAGCATATTCTTCTTCAATCGGTAAGAAACCAGTTTAAATGTAAGATATTTTGGAAATAATGCAAAAAACTTTACAAATCTGCACAGGATAAATCTCTCTTACGTTTTTTCTCAGGTGGTATGGCAACACTTTTCGGGAGTCGTACAAATCAAATATTCAAGACTATTTTCGAAACGTAAAGTATGCTTTGGTATTTGGAGTAAGTATAGTTACATTGTAATGGCTGGCGACCTATTAACCTACTGTTATATGACGATGTAACTATTCTATTTATAACGTGTAGTTATTTAAATATGTTTAACTTGTAGAGTATGCCTTGCCGATACCGATTAGAATAAAGAAATTATCTTTAGTCAATATCCATGGGTTTACGTCATTAAAATCCACTTTTCAGACTACTATTCCATCATCATCGGATTTTTTATCTTTTAAACCTTGATTTTACATTTAGAATTGTTTAGATTACCAGTTATTCGTTTACTTTTTAAATCGGCCTATAGCCTATTTCTTTTGGTATTTTTAAGGACGTTTCCTACAGCACCAAAGATCGAGTTCCCTCACTTTATGCTGCTCAACCTTCCTGCTGCATTATTGTTAGAGACTCTTATCTACTTGTGGTTGAACTTTTACTTCTTAGGAATGTTCAGGTGCCAAAAATTCCTAACAAATCGAACATATTTTCATACTAAACGGTTTTTGTATGTTAAAATTTCGATGTATTATAACTTTTTTTAGGTCCTATCGCGACGCCTCATTACAAATGAGTATGACTGATGAAGAAACTCAATACATGAACACTTTGTTGTCCACCAGATATCAGCAATTGGGCAAAATAACATTTCATGAAGGGGTTTGTTACTGAAAAGTTCATAATATAAGTACGTAATTTGCATATTACATGTGAAGTTATTTTATTTCAGGTCGTATCTGCAGTCATAATTCTGGCTGCAGCATTACAAGTAACAAGTAATACATTGTTCACGGCGTATTCATACCACGAGTCGGTTATGAGGTGAATACTTTGAATAACTCAAACCAATAAATAGATGCACTGAAATATAACGATTTCTTCGTGTGTCTTTTATTATTTCAGCCACATCAAGCTTTCTGCACCATCGATGGTTTGCGTCGTGCTGTTGTTCATCATACCAATAAATCTGGATTTCATAAAATTCTTCAAGAGACGGTCAGGTAATTAGAACTTAGAACATTTAAATTTAAGAGAAATTACGAATTTTTAAAATACGGATGATATGTTTTAAGGTAATTTGGAGCTTCTTCAGACAGCACCGAGTAAAACTTGTCTCAATTGGAGTCTTGTGAAAGACAGTGTACCCTGGAGTGTGTTATTCGTTATCGGTAAGCTTATGTTTAATTAAATCATCAGTTGCCAATACCGATGTATGCTGTTTTGAATTATTAGAGCGTGCGCAAATCTTTGACTAAACTATCGCACAAGTGTTTAATCGCTGTTTGATTCCTATGAACTTATATAAATGTGCACATACTGCTCGAATCTTAGTTGTGCAACTAAACAGTTGAATGGGATGCGAAACAATCAACAATAGACAGTCGCACAACAGTTGTGCGCCCGCTCTTAAAATCACATCTTGTAAAATGAAACATTACAGGTAGCAGTAACACAGTATTCGAAGCACTGGAACAATCGAAGATGACGCAAGAACTGGAAAGGTTTCTTCTACTTTTTACCAGTTGGTCAGCACCAGCAGCAGCGCTACTCGTTATTGTTCTTTGTAAGACGCTAACTGAGTTCGCCTGCAACTCTAGTGTAGCACACGCGTTGTTACCTCATATCGCTAGAGTGGTTTGTTAAAATCTGTTAATAATTTTCGTGTTGGTATTTTTGGTAGAAAGTGGCAACATTACGTGAAAAACCCCCTTTAAGATAATAAGCAGCACTAGCGCCACGCGGAATAATTAAGACCGAGAAAAACTACTTTTGGCGCGTTTATTATTTCGTCCATAGAATACCTATGCAAATTTTTAAAACAAGCCGTATTAAAATTGCAGTGTGTAATCTCAAAAGTGAATCCTCAATATTTAATGTTGTCGGCGACTCTTGCGTTTGCTCTGCCCTTCCACTTGATGACCGGCACGCCCGCCAATGCTATGGTACTCGCGTACGTTCATCTCCCGCCGAAAATTATGGTAAGATACTTTTATAAAAGTCTACGCACGCTAAAGAAAAATAACTTTGTTTTAAAATTATATTAAAAAAACTTATTCGCTTTTGCATATAACATTCCTCATTTTGGGGGCTTTTTCAATTTTTTTATATTTTCAATTGCGTTTACTGTTGTATATCAAAATTTAGAACAGCGCCATCTAGTTATATAATAATAAAACTTTAATTTAACAAAAATATTAAACCCATATTTTTCAGTTGCTTGCAGGTTTCGGACCCTCAGTGATAGCAGTCCTCTCAGTGTGGTTCACTGTCACCATGTGGTCTAAAGCAATATGGCCTGACATACTTCTCTTCCCAAAATGGGCAGAAGTTAATTTGCTTGAATAAAAAATATTGTAAGCCAATTTATGTAACCCGCATTATATTTCTTGTTAAATAAAAATACTACTGAAATTATTGTTTCTACTTCATTAGTCAAGAACAGGTGTCACCCAATACTAGAAAAAACTTACTTTTTATAAAAATTATAATAAAAGTACTTCGAAAATGTAAAAATCTGTGACATTAAATAAAATAATAATAATTTCTCAATATTTTATTTCGTAACAACATTCAGAGCACAAATATTTACAGTATATAACATAATGAGATATGATGACAAAATAGTTTGTATAGTAAAATGCAAACATGAATGAACCACACCTATAAAGCGCGCGCCATAAAACATACGAAGCGAAACGAAAGCGATCAATTTTATAATAAATTGTTACTTTTAAACAGAGATATTGAAACAGTAATATTAGAGAGAAAATTAAGAGAATTTACAATAATGAAATCTTTGGAAATCATATATACATATATAACTCAGTGACGATATCATTGGGCGGCATGCCCACTGGCATATGGGAGCCACAAGCCAGCGTCGCTGGCACCATCAGGTAGTAATTACTTTGGTAATTTTAAAATTAAATTCTTTCGTTTCGATTCCAATTTTTTGGCTCACTTTTTATTTTTATAAAACCACATCAAAAAAAAATCCAATTACCAACCATACTACCATTTACAAAACCAAAAGTATACAATATTTTTTGTCCTTTTACATTAAAAATTCGACAATATGTATTTTATAAGCGAAACATTAAATTCAAACCACAGATCTTAATATCTCAAGTAAATATGGTACAAAATATTAATTTTGTCTAAAACTATATTAAATTAAAACTCCTTACAATAATTTATCTATACTTTAAATAGAATAAAATATTTGAACTACTATACATTGCTCAAAATGATTAAATATTTTTTACAAAAAACTAATACATATAGATTTAGATATAAAAATATATTCTTTTGAATTAAAACTAATTTGCACTATTTGACAAAGTCAACATTCATTACAAAACACTTTTTAGTATTCGAAATATATTTTTTATAGGAATACGGTAGTTATTTCCATAGCCGAAAAACATACAAAAATATTTTTCAAAGCAAATTAAGAAACGATTTTTATTTTAAAAAGACCACTCTGAAAATATTAAATATTCACCTAGAAAATTTATTGCTAAAAAATTAAGTATATAAGTTAGAAAGTGCTTCAAGTAAAGGCACTTAAGTTCCAAGTTGCGTAACAAGATTTCTATTACAATACCACAATTAAATAAAAAGCGAAAACGAGTCATTTAGTAAAATTGGTAAAATACATAATGGTAACAGTCATGAGATAAAAATAAATATTAAAAAAACAAATAATTGCTCTAAAATGCATTAGTCAAGTTGACATATCACAAAATGGCCGACACGACCACAGATCTAATAAATTACAAGAATGGTCTATGGATTAAATAAATTAAGTCAGCACCCGCTTTTTCCGCTATCATTCTAATATAAAATGACACTTTTGGCATTGCAATCTGCGCTCCAATGGTGTCATTATACGTGAAAACATGACACTGATGACGTCACAGCACTATTACTACAAAATTCCTTGATAATTTCGGGTGTCATATTATTTGTGTATCAAAATAAATGCAATCAGATTAAAAATGGTTCAAAAACATCATTTTCAATACTAAATTACAATTTTCGGTATTTAAAATTATTTTTTTTTAAATTACTGAAACACCCTAAAACCGTTTTCTTCGTTACAAATATAGTGATTACAAAACCGTTCTATTTGGTCTAGAACCAGTTATTTAAAACCAGTTAACTCTTAAACGGTGAATAACTACAGTTAAACGCTCCTGTAACATTAGTTGCAGTGGAGCAGTTAAAGTGGGGTGTCATAGACAAGCTGGCGACGGTGGCATTGCAACTGAGTGTCAGATTGTCGATTGGCGCGGTGTCGATGCCACTCTGCAGACCTATGATGTCCTCAGCCTTGAAGATGAGAGAACCCCACGTGGGGTAGGCACCCCATACTATTAGGGTGGTTATTATTTTAGGACCAATACCACCTACGGCCTGAAAAAAATGTCAAAACATTAGTAATCTGACTCTATATTAATATTATAAAGAGGAAAAAAATGTTTTTGACGGATTTCCCAAAAGAAAGAGGTATTCAATTCGTCTGTATGCTTTTTTTTATTTTTTTTTTGTGTTACGGCATAACTCCACCGCTAGTGGACCGATTTTGATATCTTTTTTTATCCGAAAGGTAGTTTCTATGTATTGAAATAACTCAAAAAGTATTAGGAGATTTCACAATTTCACCATTAGAAAGCTATGTTATCGCTGAGTAGAATATATATATTTTTAATTCACTTAGACGAAGTCCCGAGCAACAGCTAGTAAATAAATGCGAAAGTTTAGATGGATGAATGGATGGATGTTTGTTACAGTTTATAACCTAAACTACTGAACCGATTTTGATGTAATTTGACAGATGTAGAGAATAATTTGGAAAAACACATATGCAAATTACTTTTTTTTTTAATTCCGTGATGTTTTCATACTTTTAATTATAAATAGATTTCACTTAACGTTATATTTTTTTTGGTTAAATGTCTTTAGTAAATGTTGATTAATGATAACAGTCGTCGGTTCAAAATGATTTCTTTACTAGATGTTGCTCGGGACTTCGTCCAAGTAATTTTAGACTATGTTACTCAGCGATAACGTAGCTTTCTAATGAAGAAAGAATTTTTAAAATCGACTCAGTAGTTTTTGAGTTATTCCAATACATAAAAAAATACAAATCTTTCCTCTATATAATATTAGGATAGAATAAGCAAAAATGTAAATAATTAATAAGGGAAATGGAAAAAAAATATTGTAAAATCTTCAGCTATAAACTCTTTATTATAAACAAGCTGTTCGCGTGCGGATTCATCCGCGTGAAATTGTAAAAACTTCATTTTATTATTTACATTTGTCAAATTATCAATTGCAAATGTCAAATAACATGACGGCAAATTATGGTCTCTTTCCCACATTAGGGTTTTTATCCAAAACATTTACCCCCTAAGTTTAACAGCGTGAAAATATATAGCCCAAAGCGTGACGTAAGTGTAGGGGTATTTATTAAAAAAAGAATTATTCAAAAATATGCTGTAATTGCTGACATTTTAGGCAACAAAGAAGTGTGTGTTTACGCTTTATTATAATAGTATAGATGTTGTAAAATAGCTTTTTTATATATTTCCAATGAAGTTAGCTGCAATACATACCATCTTAGAGGTGGGTATGTGAGCGACGCCAGCGACGATAGCGTTGGGCGGAGTGCCCACTGGCATGTGGAAGGCCATCGAGCAAGCCAGTGTCGCTGGCACCATCAGGTAGCGAGGGTCCATACCCAGAGTACGAGCCTGAAAAATATCATTTATATTTCAAATACGACATAAAACGACTAAAACGAAGATATAATTTGTATATATGTAGGATTCACATTGTTATCGTTTTACTTTTACGAATGCATTCGGTGTTTTTAACATTTTTTTTAATCAGATTGAAGATTGAAAAAAGGCGAGATGATGGAAAACAATGGATATCTTTTTAAAAGTAACATAATACTAAAGTTAAAAGACAAAATTTAATTCGATGAGCCAACCAAC